TTTTTTTTTTTTTTTTTTTTTTGGGAACTAGGTCATCTTTTGGAGCTAGGTCAGCAAAAAGGAGCTAGGTCATATTTTGGACCTAGTGCTCCGATCTACTCTGCCTAACCCTTGCCGAACGGCAATGGTGGATCGGAAAGATTTTGAGGCCCTTTTTGGGTTTTGGCAGGATCTAAGAGGGGAGAAGGTTTTTGAGGGCCCGGTCATCGAAAGATTTTGGCAAAAAGGTGGATTTGGGCTTAGAGGCCTTTCGTCAAGGTCTTAGGGCTGGCTGAAACTAGGAGAGGGTCTGGGCTCTTGGAAAGGGGGCTAGGTTTTGAAAATATGGTGGAAGACTCCCTTCATATAAGAGCCTGCGAGATTGTGAGGATGCTGGGCTTGGAGCCTTTATGAGGTGAAAAACAGACCTGGGTCTTGCTAAGCCTTCGGGAACCGGAAAACCGCCGCCGATTCCAAACCTCTCTCAGAGCCATCACGTCACGCCTCTCTCTACCGCCGCTCTTCTCTCAGCCTCTCTCAGTCGCCGTCATCACGCAGGTCAGATTCTCTCTCTCTCTCTCTATCTTTTTTTTTTCCCCAATTCGATTTTCTGACCCTCTCTGTCCTCCAGCAAATCGGAGATTCCATTCGCTCGCAGCGTCCACCTCTTCGTCTCGCATAGCTCTCTGTCTCTGTCTCTCTCTCAGGTACTGTTCATCTCCCTCTCTCTCTCTCTCTCTCTCTTTCAGCTCATCCTCGATTCTGTTACTAGGGTTTTGCATCTGTTTGGGTATTTAGGTTTTGATTGTGTGTGCATCTGTTTACCCGCTCCTTCCTTGCGAAAAATCAATGCTGGAGGAGCTACCGATTGTTGTTTGCAGATTTATGTCTTCTCCTTTGCAGATTTATTTTTTATTTTTGTTTTTTGATTTTCTGTTTTTCTGTTTTTCTATTTTTGTTGGTGGAGTCAAACAGTATTTTGATTTTCTGTTTATCTTGTTTTTTGATTTTCTGTTTATTTTGATTTGTATTCATTGAATATGTCATGTCTTGTTCTGGAAAAACCATCACGAGTGTGTAACAATTGGTGCCAATCTATTTTTTGACAGAGTAAGGAAGTGAAGCAATTTGATAAGTTATACTGATTTTTATCATTGTATTGTTCCCTGCATATTCTTCTTCCAGATTTGTGGCAAATTGG